GAACCAACTCGACAGCACCTAACAACAGCATGTTTTATAGTTTTCATCGTACAGGTCTTACACATCTTTTGTCAGATTTATTCTTAAGTATTTCGTATTTTTGACTCTATAATAAAGATGCTGTTTCTTTATTTCAATTTCTGATTATTTGCTGCTAGTATCTGTACTAGAAGAAGTACACCCAGAATGCTCCTTAGAAGCGAGGACAGTGAGACTCCATCTCACATACTTTGGACATGTTATCAGGAGGCACCAGTCCCTGGAGAAGGATATGATGCCTGGTAAACTAAAGGGTCAGTGAAAAAGAGAAAGACCCTCAATGAGATGGATTGACACAGTGGCTGTGACAATGGGCTCAAACACAGCAACGACTGTAAGGATGGCACAGGACCGGGCAGTGTTTCGTTCTGTTGTGCATAGGGTCACTATAAGTCAGAACCAACTCAATGGCACCTAACAACAACAACATATAGAAATACAACTGAGGTTTGGATGTTGATCTTGTATCCTGTGACCTTGCTAAACTCGTTAGTTCTATTAGCTCTTTTGTAGATTCCATCAGATTTTCTACATAGATGATCATGTCATCTGCGAATAGGTAGTTTCACTTCTTCCTTTCCAATATGGATACCTCTTCTCTCTCCTTCCTTGCTTCTTCCTTCCTTCTTTCTTTTTTACCTGACTGTACTGGCTAGAACATCTACTGCAATGCTGAATAGTAAGGGTGAGAATATACATTCTAGTCTTGCTTCTAATCTTTGGGGAAAGTATTCAGTCCTTCATCATTAAGTATGATGTTAGCTGTAGGTTTTACGTAGATGCCTGTTATGGATTGAATTGTGTCCCCCAAAAATATCTGTCAACTCGGCTAGTCCATGATTCCCAGTATTGCGTGATTGTCTACCATTTTGTCATCTGATGTGATTTTCCTATGTGTTGTAAATCCTACCTCTCTGATGTTAATGAGGTGGGATTAGAGGCAGTTGTGTTAATGAGGCAGGACTCAATCTACAAGATTAGGTTGTGTCTTAAACCAATCTCTTTCGAGATATAAAAGAGAGAAGTGAGCAGAGAGACATGGGGACCTCATACCACAAAGAAATAAGAACCAGGAGAATAGCATGTCCTTTGGACCTGGGTCCCCTGCACTGAGAAGTTCCTCGACCAGGGAAGATTGATGACAGGGACCTTCCCCCAGTGCCAACAGAGAGAAAAAGCCTTCCCCTGGAGCTGGCACCCTGAATTTGGACTTCTAAACTGTGAGAGAATAAATTTTTCTTTGTTAAAGCCATCCACTTATAGTGTTTCTGTTATAGCAGCACTAGATGACTAAGACAATGCCCTTTATTAGGTTATGGAACTTCCCATCTATTTCTAATTTGCTGAGGGTTTTTACCATTGTTGCCTGTCTCTCCAAAGTCACTGTCCTTCAGTGATCTGCTGAAATCCTCAAATCCAGGTCTTACTCTTTAGGCATTGTCATGGATTGAATTGTATCCCCCCAAAATATCTGTCAAATTGTCAATTTGACATTCAATTGTCGATTGTCATTCCTTGTTTTAAAACCTCTCTAATAACAATGCTGGCGAACAAGGTTTTTTGTTTTTGTTTTTAACGAAAGGTAGGCCATGACTCCCAGCATTGTCTGATTGTCCACCATTTTGTCATCGGATATGATGTTCCTATGTGTTGTAAATCCTATCTCTAGCCTACTAAACTGTGAGAGAATAAACTTCTGTTTGTTGAAGTTACCCACTTGTGGTATTTCTGTTATAGCAGCACTAGATGACTAGAACAGGCATCCTACGCCTACCTTCCAACCAGGGTACTTACATTGAAATCATCTGATTCATTGTTTGTATGCCACATGAGGCCCAAGAAGAAGCAGGAGCTTTATCTCTGTATCACTTGTCACTAGAATAGAGGCCTGGCCCACATGAGAGTCTCAGGGAAGTTTGTTGGGTGAATGACACGTTTGTACTCTAGTCCTGGCTCAAAAGCTAAGGCGCTCTAAAAACACAGGTTCCCATTGCCCTTCAGAAAGCCAGACCCAAGCCTTCAGACCAGGATTTCAGAACAAAACCCAAACTCCTCACTAGCCAGCAGAATTGTGGAATTTGTTTCTCCCTAATGACAGTAAAGCAGCCCTGATGGTGCAATGGTTAAGAGCTACGGCTGCTAACCAAAAGGTCAGCAGTTCGAATCCACCAGCCGCTCCCTGGAAACCTTACGGGGCAGCATTCTACTCTGTCCTATAGGGTCGCTATTAGTTGGAATTGACTCGATGGCAGTGGATCTGGTTTGGTTTTTGGAATGACAATAAGTGGAACCCTGGTGGTACAGTGGTTAAGCATTGGGCTGCTAACCAAAAGGTCAGTAGTTCAAACCCACCAGCAGCTCCACAGGAGAAAGATGTGGCAGTCTGTTTCTGTAAAGGTTACAGCCTTGGAAACCCTATGGGGCAGTTTTACTCTGTCCTATAGGGTCGCTGTGAGTTGGAATCGACTGGACGGCGGTGGGTTTGGCTTTGGTTTGAATGATGGTAGGAAGAGAGCCCAAACAAAAGCCCAGAAGAGGAAGTGCTTTGATAAACTGGAGAAACACCCTGGGAAACTGCAATTAGAATAACTTGAATAACTTGTTTCATAATTCTCTTAGACGTTAAATATTTTTCCAGTTGGTAAAAGGGGACTTTCCAGGGCATCTCTTCAAAGTATAAGATATAATAATGGGTCTTCTAACTATTTATTTTAGAATATTTCTTTCCGTCATTCCTTGTTTTAAAACCTCTCTAATAACGATAATGCTGGCGAACAAGGTTTTTTTGTTAGTTTTTTTAATGGAAGGTAGAAGAAAACAAACTACATATATACAGTTATACCACATATACCCTAGCCATAACCATATCTTGAGGCACAGAAATGGCACAAAAAGTGTAAAGAATAAATCAATTCCTAGACACGTTCTACAGGACTTTCCTAAATTAGATCATGACAACTTTAAAGGTCAAATAAAGGCAAAAACACTTTCGTTCTTAGTCTAAGGCATCATCTGGCTCTTCGCAGTGAGCTGTGAAACTTCCCCATCAACATCAAAATTCATGCTCAGGACTTATGTGAGAAACTAAAAGGGAAGGACTCTAAAAGGAAGAAAGAATGAACTGTCATGCAGATAAAAGATCAAGGCAAGCATTCTTATGCCCATCTCGGGAGGATATTAAAGGGTAGGCTTAAAGTCTTGTTGTGTGTTTTAAAGGCAAGAGAAACTAGCTTGACACGTAAGATATTCCCTTTCGATAAAAGAGTCTCTCACAAAAGATCTCTATCCACCACAGTTCAGGCAATTACAGCAGATATATTTTTACCGGAGGGACAGTTCTAAACACAGCACTAATTATGTCACTTTTCCAATTTAAATCTCTCAAGAGATCCGCACTGTCCACGGGATTAAATGAAAAACCATTACTATGGTATACAGGGTTCTTCATGATCTGTAAACCTACACACCAAGATAACTTATGTTCTTATGTCTCTTATATTCTTGTCTATGGTTTAGAAGGTATGTTACAGAATTCAACATAGTTAAACAGGTTTCCTTACTATAGGACCCCGCAAAGCCTTTAATTTGCTAATGTGTATCATGAAGCTTCCAAAATTCCTCACGGCAACTTCTTCAATGGACCAGCGCTCTGAAGAACACACTGTAGGGAGCCCTACCCTCTAGTCACTTCACACTCTGCCTCTTCTCCAACATGCCACCCTCTTTCATCCTTCCTTCTTTTGCACATCTTGACAAAGTATGTTTCTATACTCACTGTCTCCTCCTTCTTACCCCTGTTCACTCCTCAGCTCTCTGCCATCTGGTTTGTGCCTCTATCATGCTGCAGAAATCGCAGGTTTCTAAATGTGGCACCTTTTCTCGTGCCCCTTCACCTGTGTACTTTGCACCCCCCTCCCAGAATGTCCCTCCTCACCCCTCTTGGTTCAGCTCACCTCTGTTATTTTTTCCACCTTTCTTCTGAAAATTAAAAATAGAGAGAGGAAAAAAAAATACCAAATGAGAAAACAAACACCTGTATTCCCAATAATCAGAAGTGACAACCATTAGAATATGCTAATAATGGCATTGTGTTCAAGTGTTCCCCTTTTTAATAAAAGGACAAAACATGATAAAGATGAAGTGCTTGGATTTCTACTGACAACCCATTTCCACTCATCTCCCCAAAGGCAGGCACCTTCACCAGTGTGTCACATGTCCTTCCAGTCCACTTCTACACATTTACATGCGTATACATGCATTCATAAACAATGAAGATGATTTTGTAACCACAAAAAATGAACAAAATGGCATCATACAATAACTTAGCAACTTTCTTTTTCACTCAACACTATGCTTTTGAGATCCATCCATATTGATTCTACTAATCTATCAACATTGCTCCTATTGCTTCTACTGACAGCTTAGTATGCATATTATCCTATCTACTCCTCCCAACAACCCCGAGAAGATACTCCAAATGCCCACAGCTGGCATGGGGCAGGGATGGCACTCTCTCCAGCTTTGGCCTCGTCCAAGGCTGTGCCCTTGACCACTGTGCTAAGCTGCCCTCTTACTATCAATTGCCAACTGGGCACTGTCCCTGTGCCAGGTGTTTTGCATATACCATGTCTCCTAATCCTCTGAATTACCCTATGTGTCAAATACAATTCTTAGCCCCATTTTAGAGATGAGGAAACTGAAGCTGGAGCAGGTACTAGAGCCTTGGTGTGAGCCACAACTATACAGCCTCAGAGTCCAAGTTCTTATCCACTGGGCTAAATGACGGGTTTACTTAAAAAGAAATGGGAGATGAGATTAGGAAGCTGGGCAGATATAAAATTGTGAAGAGACTTGAACATCCACATCAGGAAAATTGACTTGTTAGATGATGAAATACCAGTGTCGCTAGTCTCTGATAACACAGTACCAGCGCACCCTGAGAACAGGGAAACGATACTTACGGTCATGGACCTTATAGCAATGCTTCTGCAAGCGTTTAACGGCCTGTTCCTCTAACACTCCGTGAGTCATCAGCAACTGGAGGAATCGCCGATGGACATCAGTCATGATGCCCATTCTTCTTGTACTGCACTGCATATATGAAGGAACTAAGAAAGAAGTAAATGAAATCGAGTCATTGCCAGGCATACCAGAAGCAACACCCTAGGTTTTGTACTAATTTGTTGTTGTTGGGTGCCGTTGAGTCGACTCCGACTCATAGTGACCCTGAGTACAACAGAATGAAACATTGCCCAGTCCTGCGCCATCCTCACAATCATTGCTATGTTCGAGTCCATTGCTGCAGCCACTATGTCAATCCATCTCATGCTAATTTGTATCAACACATATAAATTTGTTATGGTTTTAAAAATTAAGTTCCCCATGCTAAATAGTACATAAGTGAAAAGATCAACAGTCAGGGGTGAGGTAAACTGGTATTCGGCAGTGGTAAGAAGCATGGACTCTGAAGCCAGAATGCCCGGGTTCACAACCTGGCTCCACCATTTATTAGGTGTATGAAATTGGGCAGCTTAACCTCCCTGTGCTTCAGTTTCCCCGTCTGTAAAATGGAGATATTGACAAAAATGTTCTCCATAGGATTGCTTACAAGGTTTACATGAGTTAATACATGTAAAAGCCTGGTAACACAGTAAGCACTAAACAAGTGTTAACCTATTTTTACTATTAGACAGTTCTGGATCTGAAACTTGGCTCAGCCACTTAGCAGATCTCTGGCCTTGGATAAATTTAGTTGAGGCCTGTTTTCTCATTGCTTAGGAAACTGCTACTAAACACTTAATAGATGTTAATTTCCTTCCCCAAGCCTCTAATAAAAACAACTGTCATGGCAGGACTGCAAAGTATTTTTAAAATCCCTTGCTCTTATAAAATGGAATCTTCCCACAAACCACAAAGATCACAGCTGATAAAAGCATTACGCAGGCCCTGATCTAAAGACCTCTCCTGCAGCAGAGAGGCAGTGCAGTGCGGGGGCTGAGAGCGTGGGTTTGGAAACGGACAGGTGGCACTGAGACCAGTGCTTACCAGACCTGCCTGATCTTAGGAATCACTTAACCTGCTTATTCAAAATGCAGATTCTCAGGCCCCTTTGCTGAAGGTTCTGACTGCAGTGGGACCTAGAATCCTGAGGTTTTATCATTCACTTCAGGTGACACCATGATCTGACAGGAAATTTGCTGTTACCTTACGCAAACAGTGCAGAAACATTTTTAGCTAACATACTTAATCCTAAGCCTCAGTCTTGTCATCTGTAAAATGGGGATAATAATAACTACCTCAAAGGCGTAAGATGAAGCATAAATGAGATACGACTATCAAAGGCTTGCCAAGTACCTGGCAGAGAAGATACACAAAAAATGCTTTTTACTGTGCTTTTTTAACATCATCCTCAATTCTACCTCAGAGCTGGGAAGATACACTAACATGATCAGTTTCTCTGCCTGGTAAATATCCTCAAGCATATCTCACCAGCATCTCAACCTCAACAAATCCTAAAGTGGACTCATCCTCTCCCTCCACCATCCTCAACCATTTTTCTCCCTCGAGTCCTTCCCTTCGTGAATAATCTGGTTTGGATGGTGCAGTCCATGCAGCCATACCAACCACAAACCTGAGCATCAAACTCTGATCTTCCTCTCCTTCAACCTCAAATCAAGCCAGTCATCGAGTCCTGCCAGTCATTTCTGATCACTAGGCTAGGGTACATTCATCCATCCATCCCACTTTTTGGGCTGAACATCCCTGATTTACCAGTGGTTGTTTTGAATACAGGGATAGAATGTGGCAGGCTAAGGAATTTAGGCTTTTATCCTGGAAACTTTGGAGACTAAGGCTCCCCAAACAAAGGTCTTTAAGCAGGAAGATGATACAGTCAGGCTGTGTTTTAGAAAGGTATCTCCTTTGGCACTGTGGAGATGAATGAGAGAAGCAAAAAAATGGGAGCCAGAGTCCAGCAGGCAGTCTATTAAAGCAATCCAGCCAAAGAGGATAAGGGTATAACTGAGTCTCAGTGGTGAGGACAAATGATAATAATCATGGCCACCATGTCTTGAGCACTATCTAAGTGCCACTCTACTGAGCTTTTGACTCCTTATTTTATATAATCTTTACAAACAATTATGAAAAGTAGACGATATTATATATTTTTAAAGTGTTTAAACTAGCTGCAGATGATGTTTGAAGATAACAGAAAAATGTAAATAGTGACTCTATTAGGAGGTGAGCCAGCAATTTTTAAATTGTCTTTTATTATATTTTAGGTCCTAGGATGAAAAGTGTAACTTATTATCTTTTGCAGAGTTGGCCTTTATCCTAATGACTGATGCAAGTTGAGATTCAGCCCTAACCACTGACTCTGAATGAAACTGCAATTCTTAGAAATCACGTTTTGCTGGGCATGTCCACACAATCAGAGTGAAACAGAGAGTTCTCTGCTGGCAAAGGGTTATCATCTACTACAGTGATTCTTCATCTTTTGGGGATCACAGTCCCTTTTTAGTAATCTACTGAAAGCTAAAACAAATGCACAATCACACATATACACCACCATCTGTGTGCAATTTCAGGGAGACCTGCAGACTTCCTTGAAGTCATCCATGGAAGACTAGACCCCAAATTACAAACTCCTGCTCAAGACAGACTCTTAAATCTTTTTCCTAACTGCCTGCCCCAGGTTAGGCAAGAAAATGCAGATATTTCTAATGCTATCCGACGCTTTATTACAGAAAAATCTAGAACAATAAAATTACCCTCTCCCTTCACTGGAAGTGTACCATACAGGGTCTGGAACTTATCAGCAGCATTTCTTTGTAGGCGAGCGTATGAAAATAAGAGTGAATAGGAAGCAGATTTGAAAAGGAAAAAAAAAAGAACCAGAAATGAAAAATGTAAGTATTAAAAGTTTAAGATTTCATTGAATGAAAATTAAAAACAGATTGAACACAGCTGAAAAGGAAATTGTTAGACTAAAAGAAGAAATTAACCGGAATACAGCCCAGAGGGGAAAAAAATAAGAACTATAAGAGGTTAAGAGATATGGAGAACAAGATAAAAAAAACAAGTCTTATTAAAATTCTAGAAGAAGTTAGAGAGAATGGCTGAGAACTTATCAAAACTAATGAGAAAAACATCAAGTCCCAGATTCAAAAGATCCATCAAATCCCAAGCAGGATAAATTAAATAACTATTCATCTAGGCACATCGTAATAAAATTGCACAATATGAAAGGTGAGAAACAACCAGAGAGAAAATTCAGATCACTTTCAAAAGAGCAACAATTAGACTGACAGATGACTTCACAACAATAAAAATGGAACGTTAGTTACAGTGGAATAATATCTCCAATAAGCTGGGAGGATGTGTCTCTCGACTAAGAATGCTATACTCAAGGAAGATTGAGAGTGAAATAAAAATGTTTCCAGACAAAGGAAAACTGAGAGAATAAGTGATTTGCAGACTCTCTCCCTAAAACAATCCAAAGCATTTACTTAGGCTGAAAGAAAGAAATGCCAGGTGGAAGGTCTAAAATGCATCAAACATGTAGTTAAATCCCAGCATATTTTAACGACTAACTGTACAAAACAGTAAAAAAAAAAAAAAAAAAAATGTGTCTTGTTGGGTATAAAAAAATAAACACACAACAATAACAGCATTTAAGTTAGGAGTCAGGTGATATATGGCATATGTGTTCTAAGGTCCTTGTGATGGTTGGGAGATGAATTAGATTTTACACTTTTAAGTATACATTGTACAATTTCTAGAGTAATCACTAGAAGAATAGAAATAGTGTACAATTTCCAAATTAGTAAAGGAAAACATTTAATGAGAAAAAAATTACTTAATTAACCCTAAAGAAGGGAACAAAGGAGGGGAGAGAAAAAACAAAACAAAACAGAGACTAGGCAAGACAGATATTAAAAAAAGAAAAGTAGAAATAAATCCAATTAGATAGGTAATAACAATGAATGAAAATGGACTAACTGTACCAGTTTAAAGACAAGGACTGTTAGACTGGATAAAGAACTTGTCAAACTAGATGGTGAATAAAATCTAGCTAAATGAGTATAAGACCTACGTCTAAAACATAAAAACACCAAAAGATTAAAAGTAAACAGGTAGAAAAAGATACACTCTGCAAACAACTAACCAAAAGAAAGCTGGTGTGGCTATATTAATATGAGGCAAAACGAATTAATATAGATAAAGTCACTACAAACTAATAAAAGGTTTAATTTCCAAGATTAGACCATTTAAAATGTTTATCCAAAAGAAACCCAAACTCATTGCTGTCGAGTCAATTCTGACTCACAGCAACCTCAGAGGACAGAATAGAACTGCCCTACAGGGTTTCCAAGGAACAGCTGGTGTATTCGAACTGCCCACCCTTTGGTTAGCAGTCATAGCTCTAAACCACTGCACCACCAGGGCTCCTTAAAATGCTTGTTGGTTGTTATTAAGTGCTGTCAAGTCAGTTCTGACTCATAGCAACCCTGCGTACAGCAGAAACACTGCCCCGACCTGCGCAATCCTCACCGTCTTTTTTATGCTTGAGTCCATTGTTGCAGCCACTATGTCAATCCATCTCGTTGAGGGTCTTCCTCTTTTTCAATGACCCTCTACTCTACCAAGCATGATGTCCTTCTCCAGGGACTGATCCCTTCTGACAAGATGTCCAAAGTACATGAGACGAAGTCTCACCATCCTCGCTTCTAAGGAGCATTCTGGCTGTACTTCTTCCAAGACAGATTTCTTCGTTCTTCTGGCAGCCCATGGTATATTCAATATTCTTTGCAAACACAGTAATTCAACGGCATCAGTTCTTCTTCGGTCTTCCTTAATCGTCCAGCTCTCACATGCACATGAGATGACTGAAAATACCAGGGCTTGAGTCAGGCGCACCTTAGTCCTCAAGGTGACATCTTTGCTTTTGAACACTTTAAAGAGGTCTTTTACAGTGGATTTACCCAGTGTGATATGTCATTTGATTTCTCTACTGTTGCTTCCATGGGCGTTGATTGTAGATCCAAGTAAAATGAAATCCTCAACAACTTCCATTATTTTCTCTCTTTATCATGATGTTACTTACTGGTCTAGTTGTGAGGATTTTTTAGGGTGAATTTGGTTGAAAGATACAAAAGATGCACAAACTATAAAGCAATAGATTGATAAATTGGACTCCATTAAAATTGAGAACCTCTATTCACCAAAGAACACCAGAGAGAAAGAAAATTTTAAAATAGAAACGTTGTAGAATAAGCACATCTCAATCACAACCATTTGTGCTGTGTGCTAGACACAGAACTAAGGCTTCATGAATAGTCTCCATTTAATCTTTACAAGGACCTTATGTGAAAAGGATGAGGGAACTGAGGCTGAGAGGGACATAAAGTGAGACGAGGAGTTAGTAACAGTGGGGATACAAACCCACAGTTCCTGTTCTCAAGGCGCTCCCAGACCAGGCAAGCAAGAAAAATGAGTGGACAATAAAATTATGATCCAGGTCCCTCAACTGCAATTCCTAAATCAAAAAAGGTCTGAAAGCCCAAATGAAAAAAATCTGAACTGACTTTCGGTGAGGCTATTTACGATTGTTACTTAGTCCCCGTAGTGTAAATACGCATATATTTTGATGTGGAAATACCAATGTCTTTGATGACAGGACGCTGCCCCAGATCCCGCTGAGGGTATAGCATAACAGAGTACATGCACCATATTACAATTCTAAAATCCGAGAAATCTTGTATTCTGAACACATCTTACCTCGGGGATTTAAAAAAAGGGACTGTGGACTTGTACTAGGTAAGAAGGACTGTATACAAAATCGAGTGGTGCACAGAGGACGCTGAGATTAACTGAGAGGGGTCGGCGAAGAAATGTAATCGCGGTTGAGGTAAAATTTTGTATTTTGTTTTTAGCAGCTAATACCTAATTAACAATATTTTATTCACCTAATATTACGATACAAAAATTTGTGTGTATGTGTGTGAAGTGATGGGGCTAGATCCCCATCTACTTGCCTCTGCTCCCCCTCTCTGAACCCCATCAGTAAATGAGATGACCCAGGCCCTGCTCCACAGCTCCACACTCCGTTAGCGCACATGGTCGACCCAGAGCCTGACCCTCACTTCCTGTCTCGCCGAACCCCACCTCACATATCCCCTGGCCTTTTCCTGATATCCCTCTTCCTTTCCCGCCAGCCTCCGGTCGCCCTTCCCGAATTACCAAATACGACACTCGAGCGCTGCCCAGACTGTGAAAGCGTAGATGGCCGACAGGCCGACTCGGGCCCACCTTCAAGGCGGGGCGAACGCGAACGAGGAGCTCCCATTGGTCTCCGCCAGCAGATTTTTCCCTCCCATTGAGTGACGCACTTCCTTCGCTCCCGCCCGCGCCGTTGTCATGGTTCTTCGAACTCTGTCCGTTCGGTCACGATTTGGTACTGAGCGCTCCGAGGCTGGGAGGTAGTCCGACTTCCCGCGCCTCTCTCGGTGTTTTCCGGGAGGAGGTTTCGCTTTTGTCACCGCCCGCCTTCCGCACCGCAGCGGCCCCGCCCGCTTAAAGAAAAGGAAGAGCAGAAGTGCAGTCTGTGCTCCCCCTCAGTGGCCAGGATCCTGCGAGCATAGCTAGTACCCCGACCCGGACCTCAGTTGCCCCATCTGTAAAACTGACAGTGTGGCCTCGTGGAAAAGAATGAGGGTTCTGTCGTCATAAAGCCTGAACTGGCTCTGTCACTTACTAGTTGTGGGATCTTGGGCAAGTCATTGAACCTCTCTGAACCTCAGTTTTTTTTTCTTCCATTAAATGGCGATAACAGTTTCTAGGAAATAGTTCTGAGAGGTTTAAAAAAGATAATGCATATCAAGTGCTGATTAAATGTTCCCTATTATCTTACTTAGGGATTGTTGTGAGGAGTAAATGAAGGTATTAATGGAAGTGAATGAATTGTTTTGAATCTGCAGGGCAATTATTTTACAAAAGTTTGTATACCAGTCCCTACTCTGAGAGCCGAGGATGCAGTCTAGCAGCGGAAAAAACTCCGTTGCCACTGAGTAGATTCCGGCTCATAATGACCCTATAGGACAGAGTGGAACTGCCCCATAGGGTTTCCAAGGAGCAGCTGGTGGGTTTGAACTGCTGACCTTTTGGTTAGCAGCCAATCTCTTAACCACTGCACCACCAGGGCTCCTAGCTGGGGAAACCCAAAAACCCGTTGCCTCGAGTGGCTTCTGACTCGTAGTGACCCTATAGGACAGTAGAACTGCCCCATAGGGTTTCCAAGAAGCGTCTGCTGGATTCGAACTGCCAGCCTTTCAATTAGCAGCCGATCTCTTAACCCTTGCACCACCAGGGCTTCGAAGAGGTAACTAACTAATTATAGAACAGTAGTAAATGCAAGTATCCATCTCTGTGAGGATAGATTCACATCCCTACTTGGCCACTTTACCAGTGTGATCTTGCATAACCTCTTAACCTCTAAGTAATAAATGCTTAACTCTGTTAAAGTAAAGCAAGGAGATTTATTGTAGGTTCAGTAACAGTCCAGACTGGGAAAATGTCTAATTTTACAGAGAGAACAAACGCTTCCAAAATGAGGAAGCTGTGGAGACCTTTCAAAGGGTGAGAACAAAGGACTTGAGCTGTACTGCTTTGATTGGACATTACAAACTTAGATTAATGCAAGGCAGGTTGCTGGAAGTGGGGCCAGAAGGGGGAAGGTTACAGGAGATTTCTCTCTTAGAAACAGTTTGCTCAAGTGAAATTTTCTTGTCACCAGTTGCCTAGGAGACCTAGATAAGAGTTGGCATCAAAGTCTTCTTCCTGAGACATTGTTTCAGGAAGGGTCTTAATAGCTCCTGGGATACTATATATATTAAAAGAAAGGCAAGACAGAGTAGGGCCAGAAAATCTAAAGCAGCCATTTTACTTTAGTCAAGCGCCTCAGTTTACTTGCTCTTACCTCTCTGGGCCTCAGTTTCCTCATCTGAGTGGGGAAAAGCTTGAGCTCTTCAACTCAATATTTCTGAGATTCAGGACAAAATACTCAAACTCTCAGCCTGTTTGCTCATCTGTAAAGCAGAGATAATACCAGCACCTTGTCAACAGTGTTGTGAAGATTAAATGGGTTAATACATGCAAACCACTTTGAAGAGTGCCTGGCACACAGTAAGCCCTAGATAAGTGTAACCTACCATTATTAATAAAGTACTTCATAAACTGCTTTAGGGGCAGTCGAATAAGAGAAGAAAACAGCCCTCAGGGTGGAACATCTATATTTTGTTTGTCCTTCACAGTGTGTTGTAAAATTTTCAATTCATTATCAATGTTTAAAAGTTGAGGCATGCCACGTAAAACTCTGAGATATCTGACGATTCATGAAAAATGGGAAAGGCTGGCAACACAGGGCCAGTGTTCTCCCACGACAGCACTTGTTTAGAGCTTGATAGAGACTCTTTTGTAATGAAGCATGTGCTTTCCTGATGTGTAGAGAGACAAAAGTTGACAACCAAGAATAGAAAACACTGGCAGCCCCAACATTTCAGGGTCAAAGAGCCAAGAAAGAGGTAGAAAGAAAAGAAGAGAATGCAAGACCAGCAGTGTCACTAGGGTTGGTGTCACCCAGCGCAGTAACTCATGGTGTCACCCCCCACCATGGACCTCCTTCCATATCAGACCATACAGAATCTTTAGTAATGTTTTTTGTATAATGTTGCTGGTAAATCATAATTCCTGTATATCACTTCTTCTTTACCTTTCATTACTACTTCAGTCTCAAAAAGATTATTGGTATATGTTCAGAAATACTAATCACCACAATATTGTAGCTATAACACCAAAAAATTTGACAAAATCAGCGACGATAAAAACACCGGCAAGCAATGAAAACAACAGCATGTGCTTGTAATACATGCAGACGAAGCCACGTGATTCCAAGTGTCATTGTAATTGGGTAATAATGACAGCTCTGACCAGAGCACATTAGAAAGTTCGAAAGTAAATTAGCATAGAGTTTTAGCCTTGTAGGTATAAGCTGGACTTATGAAAAACGTTTTTGTTGTTATAACTAACTACAGGTATATTTTTATAGACAGTCATTTTGGTGTCACTCCCTCTGACAGTGTCACCCGGTGCGGTCCTCACCCCCTGCACCTCCCTAGTGACGCCACTGTGCAAGACTGAGAGGTATCAGAGACTTGGGGCATATGTAACTGACTCTAGAAGGCAGAGCAACTTAAGCATGTTGGTGAGAGTATCTTTGAAATGACCCACCATGGTATGGGAGACACAGAGAGGAAGAAGGGAAAGTGCTGACAATAGAAGAAAGGGAAGGAATATAGTGATCAGAGGTCTCAATGAGTGGATCAGGTTCAAGAGGAGCAAGTAGAGAGCAAGAACTGGAGCTCAGGGTGAGGGAGTGATCCACACGGGGTAACTATCCAGCCTCAGTATGACTTTACACTAATAAGACCCATTCTCTAGTTGGTTCAGTAAGTATTGATTAGGACCTTTGATGTGTCAGACATTGGGTTGTCTGCTGTGGGGCAACTCTGACAGTTCAAAAGTTCTGAAAGCTGTCCCTAAAAGGTGTGAGATTTTAGAGAGGCTATGGATACGTAAAGTTGTTGTACACAAGGGAGATGGTCAAGGCCTTAGGAAGCTTCAGGTCAAATCATGTGCTAAGAGGGTTGTGGTCTTTCACCTGAAGACCATAGAAGCTATCAAGGCAAAGTGATGCGATCAGATTTGTATTTCAGAAAAAGGCCTTAGGTGTATCTGTTCTTTTCAAATATACTTGGAACAATTACAGAAATTGACTATGTACCTGGCCAGAAAGGCAGTCGCAATGAATTCCAAAGAATCTACAGACCACATTCACTAACCACAATGCAGTGAAATTAAAAATCAACACCAAAAAGAAACCCATACAACACATAGACTACTGACATAAGCAACTAGTTGCTTCTAAGAAGGGGGCCAGCGAGATGGGATAATTATTTTTTACCATGGACATACATTACCTATGAAAAATAAGATTAAAAATTATAAATGTGCACTTAAATTTTATTTCTTAAGCTGGGTGATGAATACATGAGTGTTACACAGGTGTTCATTTTATTAATTTTTATACTTTTTGTATGTTGAAAGATTTTATAATATATTTTTTAAAAGAAAAAGAAAATACATTTAGACACTGAAAAATACATATAGATTAAAAAGAAATATGGAAATTACTATATTTAGAAATGAATGACAATAAAAGTCTGACATCAAAACTTGCTAGGTACTGCAAAAACAATGATTAGAGGGGAATTTATAGACTTAAGTGCACTAATTACAATATAAGAAAACGAAAGTTAAAGCAGCTAATTTAGGAGGTAGAAAACAGCTAAATAAAACCAGAGAAAGCAGAAGGAAGGAAATAACAATAAAGAAAAAAGCAGAAATGAGTAAAATAGAAAAGAAAAGAGTTAATTATGGAAACCAAAAACTGACGTTCTGTTGAAGACTAATAAAATAGACAAGTTTCTGGTAGGATTGATCAAGAAAATGATACAAATAAAAAATATTATAAATGGCAAAGAGGACATAATATAGCAAAAAAATTTAGAAATCATAGGAATAGTTTTATGCCAATACATTTGAAAATCTAGATGAATGGGGCAATTTTCAAGAAAAATACAAATTATAAAACTTGGTCTAAAAAGAAGTAGACCAACAATCATAAATAAAATTCAAATGGTATAGATCTGCTCCAACTCCCAAAATGCCCAGGCCCAGACAGTTTTAAAAAGGCTATCTTGTGCAAACTATACCCCAATATAAACGAGAGAGGGGCCACATTCTATGAAGCTAGCCTTAATCTTGGTACCAAAACCAAAACAATAGAATTAAAACATTAAGTCCACCTGTATTACAAATGTGGATGCAAAAATTGAGTCTATCCAGTATGGGTTAAGCAATGTCGTCTTACCAGACTTACTGGTCTGACAGAGACTGGAGGAACCCCAAGAGTATGGCCCTCAAACTCCCTTTTAACTCAGTACTGAAGTCACTCATGAGGTTCACCCTTCAGCCAAAGGTGAGACAGGCCCGTAAAACAAAAGGAGACTAAATGGACTCACCGGCCCAGGGACAAGGATGAGCAGGCAGGTGGGGACAGGAAAGCTGGTAACAGAATCCAAGGTCCAGAGGGGGAGAGTGTTGACATGTTGTGGGGGGTAGGGGGGCAACCAATGTCACAGAATAAGATGTGTATTAATTGTTTAATGGAAACTAATTTGCTCTGTAAACCTTCATCTAAAATATAACTTTAAAAAAATGTCATCTTAGTCCTTGGTTCTTGAGAGATAACCTCTAAAACCTTGGAATTTCCCCAGTGATTGAAGAGTCTTTTATGAGGGCTCCAGACCCACGTCTTAGGGTTTATGCTAATAAGGTG